CCCCCCCCTCCAATTTTCCCCCTGATTTTCGCCTGTGTGATAAAGTCATCAGATTTACACAGAGGAACCTGGGCAGAGGGCTGCAGCCTTGCAGAAATGGGGAAGAACAAAACCATCAGCTGGCTCAAAGATCTGCAGCCAGGTTATTTTGACTGGAGCTGTCTACAGGGAGCACATAACTGCCTAGTGCTGGTTTTGACCTATAAAACCCCATACAGCTTGGATCCAGGCTGTTTGAAGGATCATATTTCCCTGTGTGAGCCCACTAAAGTGTTGAGATCATATAGAGAGGCCCTTTTCTCTGTCCTACTACCTTCTCAGACTTGTTTGATGGGAACAAGAGAGAAGGCCTTCTCGGTGGCAGCTCCCAGGCTCTGGAACTCTCTCCCTTGAGAGGCCACAATGGCCCCATCCCTGCTCTCTTTTCAGCAGCAAATAAAATTATTCTTGTGCCGTCAGGCTTTTCCAAACTGACAAGTGTTGGGCTTCAAATGATGTATACAGTTGGCCCTCCACATCTGCAGTTTTGCAAATTTGATTATTTGTGGATTTGATTATTTGTGGTTTTGATTAATATTTTCTCTCTAGGAATCTTTAGGTTCTCCAGCATGACTCTACACGAAGTTGACTAGAGAGTCATGTTGAAGGATCTAGAGATTCCAAGAGAAAACACTTCCCCATGGCATTTGTAGTCCTCCAGCACAATTTTATGGTCCACTTGTGCTGGATGTTGACCATAGAGTCACACTGGAAGACCTGGAGATTCCTAGAGGGTAAAAATAATAGTCTTTTTTTTCATTTGAGTCCCCCCCCCCCAACATTCACAGGGGCCCTTTACCACTAATCCCAGGGAATGTAGATTACAGTACCACTGTAATTTAGATTTGAAACTATAGAGTTTTTAAAATGCATTTTACATTTCAATGCATTGGTGTTTTAACTTTTAAAACTGTTTTGTTTTTTAAAATGTGAGATTTACATGTGAATGTTTTTAAATAGTAAAATAAATAGTAAATCAAATAATAGTCAGAGATAACTGGCTATACGGTTGCCCCTCCATTCTTGTGGACTTGAAGTCTGCGGTTTTGCATATTCACAGAGGAGCGACCTCTGCTAAAATCAATGGGTCGTGCCCCTGCGGGTAGGTGCCCATTCAAGCCTATGGGGCTTGAATATTGGCGAATCTCCATTTTCGTGGGTACGTGTGTGTCCAGAATAGATCCCCCGTGAAAACAGAGGGCCGACTGTACTCGATCTATAAGAACGGCCTCTCCTATCATCCTATTTCCCACCGTTCAGAAATGTCAAATGTGTTCGCTGGGGATGTGAGCAGAGAATCCCTCTCCCTGCCTTCCTTCCTTCTGTTTCAGCCAGTGCTGTTGCTGGAAACAGAGCAGAATGTGATGCCTTGCAGAGAGAAGTAGGTCAATGTGAAGATGGCAGCTGCGTCTCATGCAGTCTGATGCTTAGAGGGAGGGTGTCTGGGGGTGGGGAGGAGAATGAAATGGTGGAAAGGGATGGGAAGGCAGCTTGTAAGAAAGCCTTCAGTAGCAGGAGGGAGGGTTGTGGGAGTTGGTGGTGGCAGTTGTAGGGTGGGACCCTTCCTGAGAAGAAGGCTGATTGTACAAATGCCCGACACACCCCCATTCCCCTTCCCTTCCCTTCTTCCCTTCCCTCCTCTACTCTTTCCCCCCTCCCAGCACTTGTTTCCTCTGTCTGGGAGATACCCAGTCTGAGACTGAGAGAAAAAAGCCTGCCACATAGTCATAAGGCTGCTTTGCTACTGCCTGTCTAGGACTGGAACTGATCCTGGCCGAAGGCTGGAGAATGCAGTTGGTTTGTTCGCACAAAACGTACGAATGGAGACTCAGCATGGCACAGAACATCTATAACAAATGAGAGACTGGAAGTGAAAGATGGCAAGGAAAGAAAGAAGTGGGCATGGATATTTATTTTTAATTTTTTTAAAAAAATCGAAGGCAGGCAGAAGCATGGATGGAAAAGAGGCGAGGCAGAAAGGAAGCAAAATGTCTGAAGGAAGGGTACTGCATGAAAGGGGGACACAAACAAAATGGAAGAAAATCGAGATTGTGAGGGAGAGAGGGAAGACAAAATGGAGAACGGTGGCTTCTGAACAGAAGACAATGCTTTGTGCAAATGGTTGAAATAAATGTTGTCCAGATAAACCTATTTTACTAAGCAGAAATAAGCAAGCAGTCCAAAGTATTCTCCATGAAACACATTACTTTGTGCATGGTTCATGGTGTACGTGTTCACAGCCTTTAATTTTAAAATCCTCTTGATGTGCCTTGAAAATAGCCAATTCTGGCTTGCAGTGCTCTCTGCTCTTCTGGTTCTGTCAAGGAGAGCTTCCTTTATCCAATATCATAATATTTTTTAACTGGACAGTCTCATGTGCTTTTTCAGCTACACTTGGGTCATTCAGCCAGCTTGGCTAGTTCTGACCTGTCCCTTGTATCTTCGTTGTCTAATAATCCCATGCCCCAAGAGGACTGACAGACACATTTCGGTCTTTTTCACATTGCACAATCTTCAGTCTTTTGCTCATGATTTGGCACATTGCATAATCTTACACCTTTTGCACATTGCACAATCTTCAGTCTTTTGCACATGATCTGGTACATTGCACAATCTTCAGTCTTTTGCACATTTGTCCAGAAGGGCTTTCTGTTCTTCTGGTTCTGTCAAGGAGGGCTTCCTTATTATCCCACATTGTGGTCTTTGAGCTATCCTCTGATCACTCAGCCAGCTTGGCTAGTTCTGACTTGTCTCCCGTTTCTGCATTGCCTAACAATCCCAGGCCCGAAGACGACTGACAGCCATCCTTCAACCTTTTGCACATTGCACAATCTTCAGTCTTTTGCACATTTGCACACGATTTCCCAATGTGCGGCCGTTTGGCTGAAGTGCTGGCCGGTGCAAAGAGGCAGGCAGGCTGAAGGATTGCAAAGCCTCCATTTTGCTTGCACCCCACCCTCAGTAGCCTCTCATGCTTTCTTTGTCTGCTTTCTCGGCTGCTCTTTCCCTTCCATCGCTGCACCTTCTCTTAACATGTCTGCACAGCAACCAGTTGTAAGAGTCTGCCTTTGGGGCTCTCTTTCCCCCTCAAAACCCAGCTCCCTCCTCCGCTCAGCTAGTGACAGAGTGGTGCTGTCTTCAGACATGCACATGTACACATATACACACACAATCTTCACTGCCGTCTCTCTCTTTCTGGCTCTCCTTCCCACCCTGATCCTGCCAGCCTTTCTTCTCCTCCTCCTCCCCTCCTTTCCCCAGCCTTTTCTTTCTGCAGTGCTCCCAGCCTCTACTGCAGTGTCATCCATCACTCACAGGTCATGGCAGGGTGGCTAAAGAGAACATAACTATTCCCTTGCCAGAGAGAGGCCAGGTTTTCAAAATGCAGAACCTTCAGCCCAGAGCGGCCACTGCTTTAGCTTTTAAAAGATTTAATTTATTTAGATCCTTTGTTTTGAGGGTGTGTTAGAGGAAGGAGGGTATGTGTGTGAGGTTGTTGCCAGCATTCCTGCGAAGGTGACTGAAAGGAAACCAAGGAGACAGGGGAGAGCCAGAGGCAGCAAAGGAGGAACACAGATGGAAAAGGAGCAAGAGATGGAGAGAGGCAAAGTGAGGAGGGGGAGCTGGAGAAGGGAAAGGAGCCATCAGGAAACTAAAAGACATAAAATGGAGTGCCACAGCCATAGAAAAGGAAGATGTGGGTGAAGCGTGCAAATCGCAATGAGCATCGAGAAGGGAAAGAGAGAGGAAATGATAGATCTGAGCTGAAAAAGAAAAGGAAAAGAGGAAGGAAGGAAGGAAGGAAGGGAAGGAGCAGACACATTTCAGT